AGGGGGGCCTGAGAGGCCCCAAGAGGTCTCAGGGAGCCATGGAAGGCTGAGAGAGACCCTCAGGCGCGGGGGCCGTTATGTGGGGTCTGAGAAGGACCCTCAGGGGTCCCTGGAGGGCTGAAGGGGCCCTGGAGGGGCTGACAGGGGCGTGAGGAGCCCTGAGGGGCTGCCCTGGCGGGGCTCTGTGAGGGGGGAAAACGGGATAGTGGGATGGGGGCACCCTGGAGGAGTCAGGGCTGTGTTAACCTGGGTTTGGGGTGCTTGGGGCGGGTGTCTCTGGACAGCCGGTGGTGTGAGGAGACCCTCGAGGCGGGTGCAGGGCCCTGTATTTGGGCTCCTTGGGCTGGGTTTCCATCATCACTCGTTTGGATTTGTTTTCCTCGACGGCTTCTGTCAGTTTTAGCCCCTTTTTCAGCTATGTTTGAGGGAGGTTTTCTTAATTCCCAGCAAAAGCTGCTGCCCTGGTTTGGAGGTTTTGCACAGATGTCCCTCTGGGCTGTGTGAGGGCGGGGAGGGCCTGCAGCACAATGTTCCCTCAGGTTGGTCCCCAGAGCCCACAGCTCCCTGTGCACAGGAAGCTGGGAGCTGGTGAGCCCTGCTTCTTGCCAAAAAAAAGCCCCAAATATGTGATTTTATCACTTTTCTGGCCAAACTGCTCTGAAATGAGCTTGTATCGAGATTAACCCAGCATCTGTGAAGTCGTAATGGATTTACAGCGTGGTGGCTGAGGTCAGATTTTGAGCCTGTTTGTGTTTTTTAGTCTTGGCTTGTGCTTTGCGACTCCTCTTGTGGCTTGAGGGTCATGCAACACGCTCAGGTTTATCCAAGAGCGTTCAGTGACACTGCTGAAGGATTCTGGGGTTTTACTTTGACGTTTTAGGAAGGTTTCGTGGCTTTTGATGGTGAGAAGACGTACTGGGGACTCAGACCATTCAGTTTAGGAAGAAAGAAAATACTTGTGTGTTTAAACTGTACTTCCAAGCGCTTGTGGAAGTGGAGTCTTCAGGGTTCCATGTTGTTTTGCATAATAAGAAAGTTTTAAATCCTGAAGGAAAAGAGACAGAATTTTAAACATCTGCGTTTAATATTTATAATCATGGGCAGAGTGACCAATATTCACTCAAGCCTTTTACACAGAGGGAGGGAAATACACAAACAGTAAACATGGAGATTATTAGGATTATTATAATTAGGAATTATAAATTCTGAAGAATTCTCACAAATAATGTGGGTCTTCTTTTCCTTGATGTTAAAAAGCAGACTTCAGGCCTCCTGTGAATGCTGGGTAATGCCCCAAAATACCCAGAATGTCTTCATTTCAACCCCTTAGCAATGGAAGAAACATTCTTTTCTTAGTTTCTATATTTCTTTTTGGAGAAGGTTCCCATGGGAATTAAAGTGCTGAGCTGGCATTGCATGGGAAACTCAAACAAGCTAAAAACCTCCTACTTCAAAAAATCAATTTAATGTACCCCAGACACAGAAATTGAGATGTTTTGTAAATAAAAAGCCACAAAAGCAAAAATAGAAAAGCTTTATAGTTGTGAGTGAAATGCAGAGTCGTTTTAAGGCTGGTTTGTCTGCTCCTAAACCTGCTCCAAACTTTTTTGGGAGCTCACAAATGGGTAAATTTAAAGCAAATCTTGTGATATTGATTCTCCAAACATGAGCCTGGCAGATAACCGCCTTCTAAAGCTTCTGCAGCAAAAAGCACCAGTTTTGTACAATAAAAATGTATTTAAAAGCTGCAACAGCCCCTCTCATAACTCACAGCTGGGAATATTTTCTGTAATTTTATTTTGGAGCCTTTTTTCCCTGTTGGGATGCCAGTGGTTGCAGCATAGCCTTTCCCAGGAGAGTTGGGCTGGGAGCCTGGAGCAGTGTGGGGGATTGGGATTTACATTTGGTTACTGCTCCTCTCTTCTGGCCTTAATTAGATCCAATTCATGGTGTAGGGAAGCAGGGATTGGTTCTGGGAAGGGCCGGGACACAGGCCCAGCCAGGATGTTGGAAACCCACCTGGGACTTCTTGGAACGCTTGTCTGGACACCTCCAGGAACGGTGACTCCAGCACTGCTCTGGGCAGCCCCTTCCAATGCCCTTTCCAGGAAGGAATTTTCCCTCATACCCATCCTAAACCTCCCCTGGTACAACCTGGGGCTGCTTCCTCTCATCCTGCTGATCCCTGCGAACAGAGCCTGACCCCAGCTGTCTCCAGCCTCCTTCCAGGGAGTTGTACAGAGTGAAAACTGTACCACGGGCTCCAGGAATTCACCTCAGTGTCACGGTGCTCGCATTCGGACTGGGGAGAAGACAGAAGTTGGGAAGGAATTTCCGTGTTCCTGTGCGTTTCCCAGAAATCCCAAAGGGTGGGAAAGCCAGGCCTCTTCCCATGGCATCCCTCTGCCCGTGCTGTCCCTGGTTTTGGGAGGCTGTGGCCGCTCTGGCCTCCCTGCGGAGCGGTGCCAGGTCCTGGTGCTGGACCTCAGTCTGTCCTGGGCTGCCACGAGAGGGAAATGTTCCTCCGTGGGAAGCTGAAGCCTGCTGTCAAGCAGGTTCCTCATGGGATCCCTGCACCGGGCTCCTGGGAAATCTCAAAAGCTTAAAAAGCAATTCCCTGTGTCCCCCTGTGTGGAGCTGGGTCCGGAGAACAGCACTGTGTCACTTCCTTCCCCTGCCCAGAGCGGAAATTCCTTCCCCTCAAGAAAGGGATTATCCTCTGTGCTCCAGAAACTTCACCTCTGTTCTCACCATGTTCAGATATGGCTGGGGAAAAGGAGGAACCTTCCTGACCTGCTTTATTCCCACTTGAAACTTCATTTTGTTAAACAAAATCCTTGGATGTCACCTTGGGACTTCTCTTGGGAATAAGGGATGGGGCATAGTGGCATCTGAGTGTTCCAAAATCGAGCAGAAAGGAGATGGGGAAGGGTTTCCACCTCTGGTTTTTTTTTGTTCTCCAGATGTATTTTTGAATTCCAGAGGATCCTGGTGTTTGTTGCTGGAGCTGGTGTTGGATGGGCTGTGCTCACTCCCACTGTTGGTTGGGATTGTTGCTGTTGGCTTCTTCAGCTGCCAAGCCTTGAGCTGGATGCTTGTTCCATACTGTAGTCACCCCTGGGAAATACTATGGATTGGCAAGGAAAAGGCTTCCTCAGCAACGCCAGCTGCTTGTAGGAAAACAAACCAGGCAGGCAGAGAGGCTGGGAGCATTAATATGGTAAAAGAGGTTTAATTTTGGCAGAAATACCAGAAATTTGGGAGCGTGTTCGCTTTGAGGTCCAGGCACACCACAGAGGTGATTGTACAGCTCCACTTTTAGCTGTAAATAAACCAATATCCAACTCTGGAAGTGAAATTAAACTATTGTTGGACTGAAATCTAGCTTTGGGGAGTGGAGAAGAACTTGGGAACTCCACCTTAAAGCCCATTTTCCCCCTAGTTCATTAAACCTGACCTCAGTTCTTAACTTTGTCCCCCCAGTTGTGGCTGTTTCCTGCTGGGGGTGGTTTGGGAAGCCCAACACTGGGGTTTTGGGGGTGTCTGGGTACCTGCTTTGATAAAGCAGAAGTGGTTTGGGGGCTGCAGAAACAGGAAAAAATGGTGTATAATGGATTTAAAAACTCATTTCTGATGTGGAGCAGACTGTTTGAATGTAGAGGAACATTGGTTGGGCTCTGATGGCGATGCTGGCATGTAGGTTCAGTGTAAGCCACACTGAGCAAGCTCTGAACAATTGCAGACCCTGTTACCTGTGCTCCTGAACAACCAGGATTAGGGGAAAATACAGGAAAACGGAATGCTCTAATCACAGTCTGCTTTGGGGTGGAAGGCACCGTAGAGATCACCTGGGCCATGGCTGGGACACCTCGCACTCATCCAGGGTGCTGCAGGCGCTTGTGCAAGAGCGCAGGCAGGCCAGCAGTGCTGCCCGTGGTGCCCACCGGTCTGTACTGGTGAGGACCAGAAGTGACCAGCTGAGCAGTGATGGGTTTTGAGGTGCTTTACGGGCATTTTGGTTCATTCTTTGTCTCAGATTGGGAAATGAACCCTCTGCAAGTTGGTGTCTTCAGGGAAACTCGCAGCTCTGCTCCTCCTCCCTCCTTCATCGTGTGGCCTCAGCCCCTTCCCTGCTCCCACCAGGCTCCTCCCCTCTCCAAAAAAGAGACCACATCTTTTAATTTGGCAGCCTCAGCTCTCCAGCTGAGGAAGCAGCGTGTGCTCCGCGCTGGGAACGGCTACAGCAGATGAAAGGACACAAGCACACATTGCCTCAGCCCCAGCAGATGCTGACACACAACTGCTTCTGCTGGGGAGTGTTCCACTGAGCCAGAGGGGCTTGGACATAGTACTGCTTGATTTCCCTGATTTTTCCACTCCTGTTTAGAGATGGCATCCGATGTTTCCTCGCTGGGTGCAGCTGTTGGCTCCGGGAGCTCCGGGTCAGGAGCCCAGGCTGGAGGAGCTCAGAGGCCCAGCAAGAGACGGCCCGGGTGAGTGAGTGAGTGCTGGGGCTGTGCTCGGGGAGGGCTGTGGGAAAAGGGCCTTTTTGAGGAAGTTTTGTTCTCCAGAAAGAGCCGTCAGCCTCAGGAGGGGCAGCTGTGGCTGCTTCTGAGAAGTTTCCTGGTTCCTTCAGGTGGGCTCTGTCCAGTCCTTTCCCTCTGTGGTTGTGTGCCAGCTACACTCCTTGAAGAGGGGCTTAAGTGACATATTCAGAGGGGATTAAAAGCTTTGCACCTCGCAGAAGGAGCAAATGCACACCGAGGATTGAAAGCAAGACAGGAGTTGCTGCAAGACCTGGAGGAGCAGAGAATTTTGGGATCCTTACCCCAACCTTTGCAGCTGTGCTGTCCCTGGGAGGGGTGGGGGGAAGCCACAGTGTGCTTGTGGGAGGCTTTTTGTTTGCTAAAAATGCCTTTGCAAATTCAAAGGGAGTTGAGCGACTGTTCCCAGATTTCTGGCAGGAGAAATTGCCTCGTAATTTTCAAGCAAACTGAAATCTGTCCCTGCGCCCCTCCCAGTCACTCAGACTCTTTCCTTCAGCCCCGTTTGCTGATGCTCCCACTGCCCTGCAGCTCCTCCCATGCTGCCTGCTGCCAGCTTTCCATCCCAGAAGGAAAGGTGAAACGTCCTCTGTAGGCTGTTGATGGTCCCTGATTCTCCTAGGAGATCCAGGCTTTTGGAACAGAAGGTTGGGATGCAGTGGAATGCTCCAAGTGTGTTTTCTTCCTTTGGAACTGTTTTTTCTTGCTCTGCTCCTGATAGACACCTAAAAGAGGCCCCTTTCCAAACTTTATTGTTTGTTTTACGTCACAATCACTATATTGCATTGTGATTACTTGATTTTTCCTTTCAGGAATCATCTGCATCCATGGGGACAGATAGAAAGGTAATTTAAAGGAGAAACCACTTGGCTAACAGTTATCTTTTTTTTCTGTTTTTCAGGCTTGATTTTGATGATGATGGAGAAGGGAACAGTAAATTCCTCAGGTGAGGGAGAGTGTGGCATCCAGAAGTTTCTGTCCCGTGGTCTAGCTGTGTCTGTGTGTTTTCACTGGAGCGAGATCTTTCTGCTCCTGTGGCTTTTCCTCTCTGGAAGCGGTGGGAATTGCTCCAGTTCCTCAAACCCTTCCCTTTCTCCCAGTCAGCAATATTCCTCCATCTTTTGTTACTGCCTCAGGCATTGTTAATTAATCCTCATCTGTTGTAAGGATGCTTCAGTTCCAGAGACATCCTTATTCCCGAGGAGCTGGCGAGGCTGCGAGCATCTCCTCGTGACCCATATGGAACACAGAAGAGTTGGAATATCTTGTGTCGTTTATTTGTAGCCTCACTGCAGGGTTTAGGATTGAATAACTCCAGTGGCACTGGAATTCCCTGCGTTCCCGTGCTTTAGGGGTGGCCATGGAATGGTTTCAGGATGATGGATGTAGGATTTACCAGGAGAAACCCTTGGATGGAGGTCCTGGTTTGGGCTACCTTCATCTTCCAAGCGCAGTTTAATCTATTTCTTGGTATGGGATTAAATGGAGTGTGATCCCACCACATGGAATGTGCGGTGGAGAACCCTGTGGAGGAGATGCCAGTAGCTCACCCATGGTGTTTGGGGTGATCAGTGAATTGTGCTGCAGTGCCCACCCGCAGCCAGGGCGGCCTTTTGAACCTCGGGCATTTTCTGTGGCAGTCATTAAACCTTGTTCTCTCGCTGCTTTTTTGGGAAAGAACAAAGTGTAAACACTTTAACCTCTCCCCCTTTTCCTAGATGTGATGATGACCCGATGCCAAACGATAAAGAGAGATTTGCCAGGTAAGAATTCGATGATTTTAAAGCTTTTTGTGCCAAAAAACTTTAATTTGAGAGGGATCCTTCAGCATCCTTCTCACGATCATCTCTCCTTGAAGGTGCTCCAAGGGATCCACACGTACTCCTTGATGTTTTTTGGACCAGTTCATTGAGTGTGATGACATTCCTCTTTTTCACCATTCCTTTCAGCTCTGGCCTTGGACTCTCATTCTTTTCATCCTGCTCAAGAAACTTGCAGAGATTCGAGTTTCCTGCTTAGTACAAGTTTTCCTTGAACAGGCTTTCCTGGCACGCGTTGTGCTTTGTGTGTTTTGTGGGGAATTACGCAGAAGCTGCACAAATTGGGGATTTTCTGGAGACTGTAGGGATCACTTTGATCAGTTTTTGGTGTCTGATAGTATCTCTGAGCGTTGGGACCGAGCCCGTGGTATTTTTACAGCTGTTTGAAGCTCTGCTCCTTTCTCTGGACACACTCCAGCCCATCAATGTCCCTCTTGCCAGGAGGGGGCCCCAGGATTTAGGGGTCACTGTCCTGCTGTTACCTGCCAAAGGGCTGCAGGGAATTCCAAGCTGGGAATTCCAGCTTTTTAAGTGGTTTGAGTCCTTCTGAAGTGAAGTAAATAAAAAAAATAGGCTAGAAATATCAGAATATTTCTAATATTAGAAATAAGCAAATTAGAACTTGGTCACAGCCTCAGAAAAAGTTTTAAAATTCAGCACACCAGGCACCAGTTTAATGTGGAATGTTGCAAACTAATGACTGTTTTATTTTATGGAGTTGCTCCTCTGCAAAACAGACCCGTCCCTAGGCTGGGTTTCCTAGTCCATCTTTCCATTTTTTTTTTTTCCATTTCTTTCAACTTTTTTTCCATTTTTAGCTTAGCTGGCTAATTTTATTTTTAGGTCTGATGATGAGCAGAGTTCAGCGGATAAGGAGAGACTTGCCAGGTAGGAGAATGGAGATTTCAAGCATGGACAAGCAGAGTTTTTCCTTTCCTTAATGTTTCTCTAGGCATCCCTTCTCTTTTTTTTTTTGTTTTTTTTTGTTTTTTTCCCCTCCTTCCCTCATCTGCTGCAGAGGATTTAACAGACTCCTGGAAATGGCTGTGGAATTGGGATTAGGAGGGGAAAGGCATTGAGGAAAGGCACACCTCATCCTTGGAAGGATGTTTTTCGGGAGTGCATGATAGGATTTGTTTACCAAAGGCCACAGGGTTGGGCTCCTGCTTTCACCTGTAGCTTTGCTAACCTATACTAAACACGGTTCCTCTTGTCCAAGTTGTCCATCTGGGAAGGTTTTGTGTCCTCTCAGAAGAGGCAGGAAAAGGTGTGTTAGCTCAGGTGTTTTCCTGCCAGGGAAGGTGGTTCACTGGAAACAGGATTTAATTTTTCCCTGGGTTTCTATCAGTAATTAATGAGAGACTTCCTGAGAGCACCAGAGCAGTCGGCTGGAATGCTGCACCCCGAATCCAGGAACGGGCCCTGAGGACACCTGTGCCCACGTGCAGGTGATTTGTCACCTGTGCACACCTGCAGCAGCCTTTTGCCCTTTGCTTCCCACCTTGCAGATTTAAGCCATCCTGGGCAGTTTTGTCTTCAAACCAAACCCTGCCCCCCAGAGTGCCTTTGCTGGCTGCACCGAGCTGTGCTGAAATGTTTGAGGGGATCAGGAAGGCACAGAGGTGAGGCTTGGGAAGCCTTCCAAGGGTTTGTTCCCAGGAGCAAAGAACATTTCAGAGAAGCATGGAGTGGTTTGGGTTGTGAGGGACCTTAGAGCTCATCTTGTTCATGGCAGGGACACCTTCCTCTATCCCAGGCTGTTCCAAGCCCCATCCAGCCCAGCCTTGGACACTTGCAGGGATCCAGGGGCAGCCCCAGCTGCTCTGGGCAGCCTCTGCCAGAGGCTTCCCCACCCTCTCAGGGAAGAATTCCTTCCCAAAATCCCATCCAGCCCTGCCCTGTGTCAGTGGAAAGCCATTCCCCATTGTTCTGTCCCTTCAGGCCTTGTCCCAGGTCCCTCTCAGCTCTCTTGGAGCCCCTTTGGGCACTGGGGACGCTCCGAGGTCTCCTTGGAGCCTTCTCATCCCCCAGGATGGACAATCCCAGTCCTCCCATCCTTTCCTCGTGGCAGAGTGACAGTGGGCAAGTGAAATGTAAATGTCTGGTGATTCCCCAGTAGCTTTTGTAGTTGAAGGATCTTTGTTTTTCACACCTGAGCTTGTGGGTTTAGAGAAGCTGCCCCAAAGGTGAGGTCAGTGAATGTTTGCACACACCTTGTAGTGATAAATGCTCCATTTTTGTATTTATCCTGTTTATTCACCTGCCTATCCTTGTTCCTTCCAACACTTCCATCTCATTTCACTTCCCACCATGTGCTTCCTTGCACCTGATCCATCTTTCTGTATAGGAAACCTGGCTTTTAAGCTCTGTTCTGGAAAACCCACCTTAGGAACCCAGTTAAATTATGTATCCTGGATAAAAGAACCAAGTTCTGGTCTGTGGGACTGAAGGGAGCTGTGCCCTGTGAGCCACAGGGGTGCCAAGAGCCTCTTTAGAGGTCGGTGCCACCAGCCAGGTGTTGCCTGCTCCTGGGCTGCCCGCATTGGCTGGCCGTGGTCATCTGTGCAGGAATGAGGTGTGAGCTGCTTGGAAGCTTTCCCTGCTGTGACAGGGGAAGGGCTTTTGATGTCACTGAGAAGTTGCAAGGTGAGACCCAGCTAATTCAGGTCTCTCAGAACTCTGGGGTGTCTGGGGTTGGGAGGAGCCTTAGAGCTCTCACACCTCCCAGAAGAGCAGGTGCCCAAGCTGTAGCTGCAGACCTGGTGGGTGTGATGGTCTCATGCACCCTCGGATGGACAGTGCTGAGGTCACCTCCAGTGAGGTGACCCCGTTTTGGGAGCAGAGGAGCGATTCCTTTGGCTTCCTGCAGTGCTGTGGGCTGGGTGGGGAAGGTGAGCCCAGCTCCTCGCTGGCCGCAGGTTCCACAGAGCCGCTGTGACTTCGAGGCAGGTGCAGGTGTAGCCTCTCCTCCTTGCCCGTCTCCACGCTCCCTGTGCACGCCCAGCATGTGAGGCTTGACTCCTAATCCTGACGGCCCCGGTGCATCTCTGTGTGTCCTGTGAGCGCTGACGTGGGGACGCGTCTGAGCCTCCCACCCCGGTGACTTCACCTTCCTCCTTTTCTCCTCCTCGGCCTCTCGCAGGGAGAACCACAGCGAGATCGAGCGCAGGAGGAGGAACAAGATGACGGCCTACATCACGGAGCTGTCGGACATGGTGCCCACGTGCAGCGCCCTGGCCCGCAAGCCGGACAAGCTGACCATCCTGCGCATGGCCGTGTCCCACATGAAGTCCCTGCGTGGTACTGGCAACACCTCCACAGATGGCACCTACAAACCCTCCTTTCTCACCGACCAGGTCTCTGTCCATACAAAAAGTCCCTCTTTCTCTTTTTATTGAGCCCCGTTAAGGTCCTGGAGAGCCACAGTGAGGTGTCCCTGAAACCTTCTGATCTTGGCCTGGTGCTGCTTTGTGGGAATTACAGCAATCAGAGGGGAAAACTAAACGATGGGTGCGAGGAAAAAGTCCAAACCCAGGGTGTGTTTTGGCTGTGCAGCTGAGAGGTGTCTGTGTGTCTGCAGGAACTCAAACACCTGATCCTGGAGGCAGCTGATGGCTTCCTGTTCATCGTGTCCTGCGAGACGGGGCGCGTGGTGTACGTGTCGGACTCGGTGACGCCGGTGCTGAACCAGCCGCAGTCCGAGTGGTTCGGCAGCACCTTGTACGAGCAGGTGCACCCCGACGACGTGGGCAAGCTGCGGGAGCAGCTCTCCACCTCCGAGAACGCCCTGACAGGTACAGCAGCACGGGCAGGGGCGCGGGGGGCTGGCGGGTGGGAGAGCCTGCGGAGGACTTGGATTAAACCCTTCCCTTTGTAGAGGGAACCAAGCCCTGGTGCCTTTCTACCAAGGATGCTGCAGCCCCCCCTGAGAATGCATCTAAAGGTATCACCGGTGACACTCGTGTCCTGCCAGTTCCCACTGCGTTACCTGGTGCCACACCTGTCTTGCTGGAAGGACTCCCAGTGCAGCAGCATCTCCTTTCTCTTTTTTTAGGTCGCATCCTGGATTTGAAGACGGGGACGGTGAAGAAGGAAGGGCAGCAGTCCATGAGGATGTGCATGGGCTCCCGGAGATCTTTCATCTGCCGAATGAGGTGGGAAGCAATTCCCTGGGGAAATCTCTGGGCCTAACACCAAACTTGCTCCCTAACCCTGGCCCTTCCATGCTTTTATTTCAGCTATTTTTGGGCTCATTTTGATCTAGACATGATAGAACATGGCACAGCATTCCCTACAGTCAAGCTCTTGAGACGTTTGTTTGCCCTGTTGTTGTAGAAGATCCAGTTTAAAGTAGCAATTAGTTTTAGCCCCAAGTGTCACTTCCCTTGAGTTCTTCAGAACAAGGGGTTTGTGTGATGGAAGTTCCTCTTATTCAAGATACCCAAATTATTTTCACGTTAATCAAAAAAGACCAAATCCTTTCTAACCCTGGTGCAGGTGTGGCAACAGCTCTGTGGATCCAGTCTCTGTCAATCGTCTCAGCTTCATGAGGAATCGCTGCAGGTAAACGATACATAAATAGCTTATATACATACAGCATAAAAATAATACAGCTGATCCCCTTCCCTCACCTTCCCCCACTGCAGCACAACCTGTTTCTCTCTCCCAAGGAATGGTTTAGGTGCAGCCAAGGATGGAGAGCCTCACTACGTCGTCGTGCACTGCACGGGCTACATCAAAGCCTGGCCCCCAGCAGGTAATGATTCACCTGTGGTCAGGTGGGCTGGCTTTAACAGCACGTGGTCTAAAGTTGCCACTCCAGGAGCTGAAGGTGCCAGGAAGTGCTTTGCAAACCTATCTCTGACTTTCATTTCAAGATTGACCCAGTTTTTGCAGGCCAAGCAGCAGATCTCTGTTTGTAGAGGATGAAAATAATACTGAAATGTCTGAAATTCAGAGGCTTTCACTGGGGGAGGGGGGGCACCTTAATTTCCAAAATCCCTTCATGGGGAAGGGTATTGGGTTAAAAACCAGGGCACGGAGGTGTCTTGAGTCTGTTCCTCTGAAATGAGCCATTTTTCCTGTACTAACCTTGCTGGAATTCTTGGCCCTCCCCTCCCAGGTGTTTCCCTGCCTGACGATGACCCCGACGCTGGCCAGGGCAGCAAGTTCTGTCTCGTGGCCATTGGCAGGCTCCAGGTGAGTGCCCTGCTCCCCTTTTCCAGCACTGCCTTGTCCTGGGAGTCCCCAGATTCAAACTCTTCTGTCTGAAAACATTCCCCAGTGGCCAGAAATCGCAGAGCAGGGCTGGCAGCTCAGGTGCAGGCAGGGCTGGTGACTGACTCTCCCTGTGCTCCTGGCAGGTGACCAGCTCCCCCAACTGCACAGACATGAACAACGTCTGCCAGCCCACAGAATTCATCTCCCGACACAACACCGAAGGAATTTTCACCTTCATCGACCACCGCTGTGTGGCCACCGTGGGTTACCAGCCCCAGGTGAGGACCTTTGGGAGCTTCTCAAGAAAAAGGTGCTCTTTGAACTTAAATTTCCTTCTACATCATGGCTCTGCTTGTCCAGCAGAGCTGATAAACCGTGCCCAGGGTTAACCCAGACATGTGTTTCTTCTCCACTGGTTGCTTTTCCATGTGTTTTTCCAAGTCCTTTGATCATGGGAAGGCTGGGTGTCTCTGGATTATGTCAAATGTCAATTAAAGCCATTTTTGCTTCAAATTGAGTTAAAGATCAAACATTAATCAACGGCTGTTGTGCTTTTCTTTTAAAAAACAGCACACCAGCTCTTGTGCTTGTGTTGTGTAACAGGAATTTGGGGGGAAGGAGCAGGAACTACCTGTCCAAATACAGATTAATTATTGAATCTGCCTGCCAGATGAACTGACTCAATCTCTCACAATTCCTTCAAAAATAGGAACTTTTGGGGAAAGACATTGTGGATTTCTGCCATCCAGAAGACCAACAGCTTTTACGGGACAGTTTTCAACAGGTAAAAGCATTGTAGCTGCCCTTTGCATGCAGGGTGGAATTCAGGTTGGAGTTTATTCCGAGATTGGAATGTCGTGGTGCTTGCAAAGCAACGAAATTGACTGGAAAACCAAGAACAACAAAGCTTAGATAATTCTCCTATAGCAACAGTTGCAGATTTAGTGGTGTCATTAAATGCAAAACGGAACAGAAGCATCTGATTACTTAACTCCTGAATCCAGTCTTAACTCCAGCTCTGGCTGCTGGTCCAGTTGGCTTTTAGGGCCAGGGATGTGGCTCCCAAGTGCCTGCCTGACTTGGCTGAAACCCTGGTTCATCTCTAGGGCCCAGCCCAGTGCTGCAGAACCCGCAGTGGAGGTGGTTCTCTTGCCCTGTTGTCGTTTCTGTTATTTCTGAGGGCCTTGGACTGGTGGCAGGGCAGGTAAGGCTGCCCCTGTGCTTTCATGACTCCAAAAACCAGCTGCTCATATCCATTGCTCCAAACCCTTGGAACGGGAAGCGACAGCATGTGTTTCATTTCTTGGAGGCTTTTTCATACATCTCACCAGTGCAAAGAGATAAGAGAAGTGAAGCCAAAAAGGGGATTTTAGATTCCCCTCCTGTATCCTTCAGGAATCAAGCTATCCCAAGGGAATAGCGCCATTTGGTTTGGGAAGACTGAGACGAGGTGGTCCAGGTTTGAGGCAAAGGGCCATCGCAGGGGTCTGGGGGAGGAACTCGTTGCTCTCCCCACCTTTGACCAGGTGCTACTGATGTCATTCCGTTTTTTTTAGGTGGTGAAGTTAAAAGGCCAGGTTCTGTCAGTCATGTTCCGCTTCCGATCCAAAAACCGGGAATGGCTGTGGATGAGAACCAGCTCGTTCACCTTCCAGAACCCCTACTCGGATGAGATCGAGTACATCATCTGCACCAACACCAACGTCAAGTGAGTGCCTGCAGAAGGGCTCTCAGTGCAGAGCTCCCCAGAGCTGGGGAGCCTCAGCCTCTCCCCCTCACCAGCCTCACATCAATTTACACAAACCTGGACAAGTCCCCAAGGCCCTACAGCTCCCGTTCTCTGCTGGGCTGTGCCAGGCACTGCAGGACTAAAAAGTGCAGGAATTGTAATGCCTTTGGCTGTCTTGTTGTGTAGCTTAAGCTGAGAAAATTCAGCTCCAGCAGTGCCTGAAATTGCTGAAGTCTGCCTCAGGAGGCTCTTGGATTCCTGTGGCATCCCAAGGGGTCTCATCTTTGGGAATGGTCAGAGCTGCTCTCTGCTTCCATGAGGAAGCTCCACACCCCTTGAAAGGACCTAGAAATTGTGCCTGTGTGTGATCTAGAGCTGCAGGCTCAGCAGGGGCAGCTCCAGCACGCAAACAGAAGGCTGGATTGCCTGGGAAAGGGAAATCCAGGCTTTTTTTGCCATGAGGCAAAGTAGCACTGCTTCCCTGCAGGGCTGAAATGTGCTGCAGGCCTGATTTCCTGCCCCAGGCAGGAAATCTCACTCTTTGAACTTCTTTGTTCCACATGCAGCCATTCCCACATCCAGAATCCTAAACCCCTGTGGAAGTTCAGAGCAGAGCAGCAGTGTCTCTGTGGTTGTGTTTGAGGTGTGCTGGGACTGAATGTGGAGGAGAGAGGCACAACCCCCACATCTGGAGCATCCTGTTCCATGACACCAGCTTTCCTTTTGGGTGGAAACTCACCCAAAAACCCCTTCACTCAAATGGAGTTTGCATCAGCCAGCCACAGCCCGCTACCTACAGGACCCAGCTTTTGCTACCACTTGGGACTTCTAAAATCTCTTTTTTCTGTGTATGCTTTGAAGGAACTCGAGCCAGGAGTCCCGTCCTGCCCTGGCAAACTCCATGCCAAGGCCTCAGCTGGGGCAGAGCGTCAGCCTTCCCCTGGACATGGGCACAGCCCCACTGCCCTCAAGGTCAGGAGGAGCTCAGCTCCTTTTCCCATTTCTGCCTTCCCCTCACACACCCTTCATTCCCAAATTCCCCTCTCTGCAGCCAGGAACTGCAGGCTGACAAATCCCTGGTGTAACCACCCAGCCCTGTTCCCTTGGGAGTTTTCTTCAGCAGCCTGTGTGTGTTCCCCTGTTACAGACGCTCTCTGTTTTAGGCAGCAGCAGCCACCGCAGGCAGAGCTGGAAGTGGGCCCAGGAAGGGAGAGCTTGGCTGGGTACGAGCACTCACAGGTGAGTCCAGAGGGATTTGGGCACTCCCTGTTTGTTGTTCTGCACTGTTGTAAGTCACCGTTTTGCTGGAGGTTTAGAGGTGGTGGCACCAGGTTGAGGTGGGGTTTGAGGGGAAGGTTCTGCTCGATTCCACTGTTTATCATGTGGAATCACGGAATCCTGGAATAGTTTGCGTTGGAAGGAACCTTAAAGCCCATCCACTTCCACCTCCTGCCATAGCAGGGACACTTCCACCACACCAGGCTGCTCCAAGTCCTGTCCAGCCTGGCCTTGGGCACTTCCAGGGATGTGACTGGGCATCCCGAACGGCCCCGCTGTCCCAGGAAAGCGCATCAGAGCGCCGGGAGCAGCCGGGCCCGCAGCGGCTCCGCGCGCTGCCCTGCTCTGTGCCGAGGTGTGAGCAGCCGTGTCCCGCCCCAGGTGCCCGTCCAGCCTGTGAGCGCTGCCGGCCCCGAGCACAGCAAGCCCCTGGAGAAGGCCGAGAGCCTGTTCAGCCAGGAGCGGGACCCTCGCTTCGGGGACATCTTCCCCGGCATCAGCACAGGTGGGTCAGCAGCATACGTCTGCTCCTCCCTCCCTGCCTGCCCTGCGGAGCAGTTCTCCCTGCTCCCCGTCTGCACTGGCTGCTCTGACCCCAGAGAACTCCGTGCGAGTTGAGTAGAAAATGGAGAGGAAATCAAATTAAACGGGATTTAATGAAATCATCTGGAGTCTGTGTCTGGAGAAGGAACAAAGGAGTCTTCCTTCACACAGACACGTCTCTTCTGAGTGGTTCTCTGTTCCTGAGATGTCCCAGCCCAAAAATGACTCGTGCTCTCTCTGCAGACCAGAGCAAAGCCATCCCTGCCAGCACCATGCCGGCCAACCCGCCCCTCTTTGCCCAGGGAAACACCTTCACTGCTGCACGGCCTGCTGAGAACTTCAGGTGAGGCTTCACCTGGCCAGCTTCTCCTGCCCCCATTCCCTCTGTTTCCTCCGCTGTGCCTTGGACATGCCCAGGATCTGGGTGTTCACAACCCCAGAGGTTACTCTCACCTGTTTCCCAGTATAGAATCATGGAATCATTCAGGTTGGAAAGGCCCTCTAAGACCATCAAGTCTGACTGTTAACCTGTGTTTACCACTGACCCCGGTCCCCAGGTGCCACATCCACACATTCCTGGGACGCTCCAGGGGTGGCCACCCTTCCCAGATGGGCAGAGTTATCCCAATTGTTGGGCTCATTTCCCTCCACCAACAACTTGAGCAGAAGGGTCTGGTGCCTCTTCCTCCTGTGAGTGCTGTTCGTGGGCTCAGACAGCTCTTCTGTTCCAGGAGCAGCAGCATGGTCCCTCCAGTGAACATCATCCAGCAGCAGCCCTCGCCCGCCGGCCGGATCTTACCGCAGATTCCCCGCCACTCCACCCCAGCTCAGGTCAGCGGGACCACCTGGGCTCCAGGGACACGGCCAGTGTTCACACCCCAGGTAGCACAGCCCGAACCCTCAGGTGCAGGCCCCCGGGTCCCCGCTGCCTTCCAGACCCTGCTCTCCGTGGGGAACCGTCCCGCTTCCACTCTGCAGCGCTGCGTGTCCTGTGCTTCCTCCTTCGGGGCTGAGCCGGCAGCTCCTCCCTGAGCTGAGGGTCGGGGTGAATCCGTGCCTCCTCTTCCTCTCCCGTGTTTTTCCTCTCTTACAGCAAGTGGCATCCCAGGCCGTGAAGACCCGACCGCCTTCCTTCAGCATGGGCACATTCCAGGGCACGCCGTCCTCCTTCAGCTCCATGGCAGGGCCGGGATCGACGGCCTCTCCCACCACGGTGCCGTACCCAGCCTTGGCCAGCCGCGGCACAGGCTTCAGTGAGTGGGGACTGGGGGGAAAAAAACCCTGGGAGGAAAGCTGGGAGCATCCAGCTGTGGAGGGATGTGCTCTCCATCATTTTTTGTGGGTTTTGGGAGTGCCTAAATGTGGGGAGCAGAGTTGAATCTGTACTTTGATTGACAATGATCACCTTCAGTCATCCTCCAACCACTGAGCTGGACTCGGTGGTCCTTGTGGATCCCTCCCAGCTCAGGATAATCTGGGCTCATCCCAGCAGATGAATTTTGAACCATTTTAAGGCTAACTGGCAGGAAACAAACCCCTCTGGGAGTCCCTTTCTTCTATCCCATGGCAAACACCTGAATTCTCAACCTGTGGCCAGAATTCCTGGAGGGTGACCCTGTCCTGCCACCAGCAGCGGCCCCACACAGAGCACTGCCCTTCCCAGTCCCGTGAGAGCACTGGAGGAATGAGATTCCCAGAGGAGGGGTGCTTCACTGCCTGTGTTCTCTGCCCAGCAGCCACAGAGGCAGCGCAGACCCCGGCCCCGTTCCAGCCCCGCGCCGCCGACGCCGTGGGAATGTGGCCGCAGTGGCAAGGACAGCACCACGGCCCAGGATCCGGGGAGCAGCACGTGCAGCAGCCCCAGCCCAGCCAGCCTGAGGTCTTCCCAGTAAGATGGAGCTTTTTAACCTCCCAGGCCCGTGGGATCCACTGATCTTGAATCACCCAGAGCTTGTCCCTGTGGTCAAAATCAACTGGGGAGGTCCCAAATCCTGGAAAATCTGATGGAGCTGGAAGTGGAGAGGGCAGGACTGGCTTTGTGTCTTGGTCTGTTGCAGAATCAGAGTGAAATTCCAGTTGGATTAACCCTTCTAATTCTAATTAATAATGAAAAAAAGCTACAGTCCATTGAAGTTAAAATTAGTTCCTGAGAATTTATAATAATCTCCTCCCAGCAGTTGGTGATTATAGCTTGAATTTGCTGCTGTCCTTAAATTTGCCTTGGACATGGACCCTGTGTTCCCTCGGGAAAGGGACCAGTTTGGCCCACAATATCTATTCCAGCAAACCCGTGACTAAATTGCCAACATGATCACGGAACCATGGAATTGAGGCTGGAAAAGCCTCTGAGATGGAGTCCAAACACTCCCTGAATTTCCAGTCTAACCCTCCCTGGCACACCTTGAGGCTGTTGCATACGTGATACTCCAGTCTGGATCCTAACTCTCTCCTTGTATCCTCACAGGACATGCTGACCATGTTGGGGGACCAAGGGCCCAACTACAGCAATGAAGAATTCCCAGAGTTGAATATATTCCCTTCTTTTTCTGAATAAAACAAGCCTTAGGGGAAACAGCTCTCCACAATATCCACGTGTAAAGGAAAACAGCCGAGTCTTTTTCTCAAGGAACTGTCTAAACCCTTCCCACCTTCTGGAAGTGGAGCTCCGATGGCCGTGGAGGAGGAGGTGGTTTGGACACCTCCTCCATGTGGGATTGTTCTGGAAGCTTCAGGACTTGAGTGCCACCAGGCCGGAGGCCCCGTGTTCCCAGAGCCGCTCCCAGGTGGAATTTTTTGGAGGGATTCCTGTCTGGATCACAGACAGCCCTTCCAAACTTTTAAGGTGGCTTTGACTGTTTTTATTTCATTTTCTGCCGTGACTTTTTCTATAAAACACAAACTATTGGAATTTTGAAATGCTGGAAGAAACTCTTCCAAGTGTTATCCCTGTAAACACAATCCTGGAGGATGCTTGAGTAAGAATCCGTGTCCTAAGCCAGCGTTTTCCTCCTTTTTGGAGGAGATTTGGCTGTTTTTGGAGGGTTGTTACGGCGTCTCCAGTCCAGGGTGCTCCATGTGGAGATTCCAGTGTTTGTTTGGAATCTTCTCTCTCCTGTGAACTGTGCAATGAAATCGGTGTGATCCACGACCCCCCGTTACCCCGGGATAATTAACAAGCCATAAAAAACATTACCCATGTAGCTTTCTTCTGGATGAATCTGTTTTCCAGCTGGTGGTTTCTGTGCTGCCACAAACCGAAGTTTCAACAGGTTTTTTGGGATAAAACCTGGTCCACGCTGTCCATGAACTTTTATCACAGGTAGATGAGTTCCTCGTGAGTCCTCGTGGAGCTGGATGTGGGAGAATCCCTGGATTTCATCAGGGAATTGCTGAGGAACTGTATTTTCACTACATTTGCTCACTCACCGTCTCCTTAAAGAAGAATTCCTGCCATGGGATGATCCTGTTGCCAAATCACAAACTGTAAGAGGAGAGCTGGAAAAGTAGGGAACAGAATGAATTTTTTTATATATATATATATATATCTATATATATAAAATTTTTAATTTTTAAACATTGACATGGAATCTTCTGGCTTTTTCCATGGGAAAAAAAACCAACTTGTGGCCAACCCTGCTCTCCTCAGGGGCTGGAAGAACTGTTTGATTCCCTCTTGCTTCAATTCCAACGGGAAAATTAATTGCAGAGTTGGACTTGGAAAGAAACTTGGCACAACAGCAGCTGGGGAAGGATCCCAAGTTTTCCTGGAAGCCTGTTTTTGTTTTGAGTGGAATGTGGGTGTTTCCCCCCCTTTTCCCTGCATGCTGGGGGGCTCTGGGACCCCCAGGCTGGCTGTGTGGTTCTCTCTGCTGTTGGGGGCAAGAAGGGGGAGACTCCTCCCTTTCCAAGAGCTGCTTCCAGGGCTGTCATTCCTGAGTAATATCCACGTAGGAAGCTTTGAAACCTTTGTGTCACCAACCCAGAGAGATCCCTCTTGTAAGTGCAGCAGGAAGCTTTATTTTTCTCTCTCCTTTTCCCTCTGGAAATTTAAGACTTGAAGGTTTTGTTTTAGTTTGTTTTGGGGTGGTTTTTTGTTTGTTTGTTTTTATTTTATTCCAAATTTCTCTGCGGGTAAGTGGGAGCATCCCATTCGGAGACATCCTGTGATCCATCATGTCCTGGGCCTTTCCTCTTCAGCTCTTGAAGGAGGAGGAGAATTCCCATTTCCCTGTGCCCGTGCAGGTCCCATGGCTGTAACCCCCCACATTTCCCAGATCCTGGGAGAAGGAAACCAGCCAAACGTGTTGGGAAGGAGGATGAGGAGGATGAGGAGGGGCTGACAGGGCTCCCAGGGGGACAGGCGGGATGCTTTGGGAGCTCCAGCATTGGTCCTGGGGGGAATTTTATCCCAAACTGCCTGGGGGGCAGGAGCTGAAGCCCTCGGGGGTGTCCCAGCCCCAGGTCCCTCGGCTCCAGTGGATTCCGGGCTGCAGTTTTTCCAACAAGAGGTTTTCCCTTTTTAGAACCTTGGTCTCATTTCTGCCTCTTTCTGTCCCCATCTTGGAGGAATGTCCCCAAATCCCCCTCCCTGTTTTGTCCCCCAGATCCCGTTATTTATTCCCCCCCGGGTCCCCTCGGTTCCCGGTCACTCAGTGCCACGTCAGGGCCTCGTGCTGCCGCCGCTGGTTCTGCCCTGGAGCCCCGGGTGACTCAGCCCCCGTCCCCGCAGGGCTCGGCTCACACGGGGGGTGACCCCTCTCCTGGGGACCCCCCCGGGAAGGGCTGACAGGGACGCACCCCCATCTTGGTGCTGCTCCATCCCCCCCGCCCCTCTCCCGTCCCGGGATGATCCATCCTTGCTCCCGTGGATGGAGGGTGATGATGATGACGATGATGATGATGAGTTGATGTCCCCGGTGTGACATGTCTGGGACGGGCCACCGGGACCTTCTGCCTTGTCCTGGCAGGAGCCGCGTGACGAGGTGACAGTCACTGCAGGGGGACCGGGACACTGGGGACAGAGCTGTCCTCCGTCCCTGCTGTCACACCATGTCCCCGAGCTGCCCGTCCCGCCGCTCCTCAAGGGAGCGGGTGCTCAGCCCCATCCGATTCGGCCACGGGCAGGACTTGGGGACACTGGCTGTTTCCCAGGATGGGGTGCCGGGACAGGAGCGTGTCCCCGGGGCAGGATGCTGGGGTGGGGGGACATCCCGGGGACAGGAGAACGTGCCGGGGACAGGAGAACGTCCCGGGGACAGGAGAACGTCCCGGGGACAGGAGGATGTCCCGGGGACAGGAGGATGTCCCGGGGACAGGAGAACGTTCCGGGGACAGGAGAACGTTCCGGGGACAGGAGGACGTCCCGGGGACAGGAGAACGTCCCGGGGACAGGAGAACGTCCCGGGGACAGGAGGATGTCCCGGGCAGGACCCGCCGCCGGGGCTGACT